CTGTTTTCGACGTTCTTTATATCCATGCGTAGGTAAAAATAATATCTACAACTTTCATTTTGACTACGTCAGCTAATTCTCGATCGATCTTAAATTTAACAGTACGAGAAGATTAGACTTAAATGACCGCGAAAAATTCGTAACTCCTTCATATATACTCCGTTTTCATCTGTCTTTTTACCGTTGAGCTCCTATTAATGAGATCTTCAACTCTCATTTAGACCGCATAAGCCAAAAACCACTCAAACTAAAATTCAAGTTTCGGGTCGTGCACTGCTATGCCAAATCTTAAAAAAATCATAACTTCCTCATACAAAGTCAAATTTGGGTGTTATTTTTATGGACGCTCTCAGGTTAACATATTCTATGAATTTAATTTATATCACTAAGGCTAAAATTCTCTCTATGATAAATTCACTATTTACGTATCCCTGGTGCCGTGCCAGTTCCGTCGCGAAACTTCGACGGGTCATAACTTCTTCGTTATAACTCGGATTTCGGCGCTCTTTATATGTATGGAACCCTTGAGACATATTATACAACTTGGTTCTAAATAATCTTTTGTCGAAAAGTCGTTTCCGACCGTTATTATCTCTAAATTGACTAGCCCGAATCTACGGGCATTACATTGAAGTACATGATTATAAAAAGAATGGTATTGTCAACCTACAAGGTAAGACTTCCAAATATAGAAAATAAACATATTGTGGTCACATTGTAGCGATATTCAAATCACTAAGATTAACACAATGTCTCAAATTGATTGAGACTTTTTTCAATACAGGAGCATATCGAGCTACATACATAGATATTTTGCATCATGTTCAAACTCCCTTTAATTAAGGAACACCATATTTGTAACATCTTTTTTCGTTCCATTTCTGGGTCGTGTGTCAAAATTCTATTGTGTAAGGCTTTGGTCCTTAAGGAGGAAAAGTTTAGTCCTTGTGGAAGGAGCTAATGTTGGTTAAGGAATTTAACCCTTGAATTATGTTTTGGGCCGAAGGGTAGAAAGGGAAAAGTCATAGGTCGTGTTCTTGCATGAAATATAGATTTTTGTTCGATAATTTTTTAGTCCAATATATTTAGATAATATTGTAGAACTCTTCAATACCTTTCCATGGATATAAAGAACACCAAAAACAGAGTTGGAACGAAGAAGTTACAACCATTTGAATTTAGGATTTTTTTGGGTCAGTCGCGTACACCGGGCGTATAGGGAGTACATTGGGTATACTAGGCCATCCCTAGTATGCTGGGCGTAAATTGATTACGTTGGGCGTATTGAGTATACTTGAGTATGTTGGGCGTAAATTGAGTACGATGAGCGTACACGATCAATGCCCAAACCCTATTTCCGTGGTTTGAGCCCTATTTAAGCTCCTTAACTTCCTCAAACCCACTCCATTCTCAACATCCACTTCTCCAACACCCTGTCTTGAAACCCTAACCCTATATTGAGCCTTGTGAGAAAGAAGAAGGTGTTTTTAAGTGCTTTGGAGTGTTCTTGGTGCACCTTGGAGAAGAAGGAACTCATTGAAGAAGTGTTGGTTGCATTGAAGCTTGTAGATCTAGACTTTGTCCACCTTGATCTTCCTTCTGTAGGTATAAATTTTGAATCTTGATGATGAAATTGTTAGATCTAGCTTGTTTTAGGTGCTATGGGTTTTTGGTCACTTTGAGTGCATAAAGTTTAGATCTTGAAATTTTGTGACCTTTTTATGGATAAAGTTGGAAACTTTATCCTTTAAACATCATTTCGATTCAGATCTGAAGGTTGGAGACTTTGACTTAATGGATTATGTTGAAAACAATGTCCTTTTGGGTCCTTTTGAGACTTAAAGACTAGATCTTGTTTGTTAGGGCCATTCTAATGGATAAAGTTAGAAACTTTATCCATTATGGAACTATTATGAACCATAAAAATGTGATCTTGGCCCTTCCATCCCTTCCATACAAGAGTTGTGATGTCTTATTGGATTAATAACTTAAGGTTTTGGTTATTATGCACTTTATAGCCATGCAAAGTCATAAAGTTGGAAACTTTATGACTTATGATATCATTTTGGTTTTGGATCTAAATTTTGGACATAAGGGCTTAATGGAATAAGATCTTAATGGAGTTTTGGGATTGAGTTGCATACGCTAGGCGTACCTAGTGGTACGTTGTGCATACATGATCAACGCTCCGCTTTTGGTCAGCATTAGAGTACGTTGGGCGTACTTTCTTGGTACGCAAGGCGTACTCTGCTGAGAAGAAATATTGACTTTTGGACCTTGACCGTTGACATTGACTTTGACCAGGGTTGACCAAGTTTGACTTACGAATATTTTGGGTATTCTGAGCTATAGTTAAGACTTGGTCTCTATCTGTTGAAAAGGTGACATGTAGAGCCAGTATCCGGAGCAGTGTATTGTTTAGCTATTCTTCATACTGTGAGGTGAGTTTTCCTCACTATACTTTTGGGTCGAAGGCATTACGCATCCTGGTATATATGATGTTGATATGCGGTAGTGGTCTGTAGATCTACCTGTTTGTCTGTTGATTGGTTATATATTCTTTTGTATGTATATGTCGACATGCTATGATTTTAGATTAAGACTTTACTGCTATGTGTGTGGGTCAACAGACCGAGGGTATTCCAGCCTGATGGCTATAGACCCGAGGGTATTTCAGTTTGATGACTGAGTGGACTTGTGGTATATTGGTATGATGGTTGGGACCCGAGGGTATTCCAATCTGATGATTGAGTGGACCCGTGGTATATTTCTATTCTAACTCAATGGCTGTGGACCCGAGGGTATTCCAGTCCGATGACTGAGTGAATCTGTGGTATATTGGTATTCCAGCTCGATGACTGATTGGGCCAAGGGTAATCCAACCCGATAGCTGTGGACCCGTGGGTATTCCAGTCCGATGACTGAGTGGACCCAACATGCTTGTTTGTATATGATATGTGTATTCTGTGGTGGTACTTTCGGAAGAACTTACTAAGCTTCGTGCTTACATTTGTTTGTTATGGTTTCACATACTTCAGGTGATTGGGAAAATCATAGGCATGATCGTGCACATCTTTCGAATTTTATGTTATTGGATTTTGGGATACTCTGATTTATGAACTATACTTTTGAAAAAATGTTTTTGTAAACAGTTATCGACTTAGGGTTGTTCTCGAAAAATGATAATTTTACTCTGGTCTTTGGAATGTTTCAATATCAAGTAATGATTGTTAAATCATCGTTTATGAATAAACACCAAATTGGACATTGACGAAATCATGGTTATGTTCCATCTTTTTTTTTTTTTGGGGGGGGGGGGGGGGGGAGGGGGGTTCAATACTCAAAACATGCATTCAATACCAAAAGAAGAGGCACACACATCTTACGTGTCCATTTCCATGGTCGGTTGATTCTTAACTTTAAGTTTTTATGAGTAAGTTTAAGTTAATGTGAATGTCAGTCGACAATATCTTATGTTTGATTTAAATAACCTGTATAATTTTATGTATATCAAATCGAATTCTTATTGGTGTTTACAAAGTCAAAAATATTGTGTTATTCATTTAAAGTGGTATCCTACATCGAATATCATATTCTTCATTCAAACAAGATGGGAGAGAACATATTAATAAGTGAAACTAATAACTTTCATTTAAACAAAAAGAACAATACTTTCATTTATATGAAAAACAAAACACAATACACCCTAACCCCTAACAGACAATAACAAACTCAATAGGTTGGTGTCTTTATCATTAAGGACGTGTAAGGCAGGACATGAATGGATATGTCCCTACATCATGACTTGTTTGGCACTAAACCCTAAACATTGGTGCCTAATCAATCTTTCATGTTCCTTAGAGGTGAACCAATGCCTAGGACCAAAAGGATTTGAAAAAAACGCCATTGACATGTAGACTTTTTGAGATTCTGTCTTGATAAATGACTTTTTAGATTCCTTACCCTTCAACTATTACCATCATGTATTAACAAAACAAAAAACAATTCAAATTAGATTTCTTTTGTTTTTCAAACTCTGAAGTATTATGATCAATTCCAAAACTTCTTATCAATATATAATGAAATGACAATAAAACACATTGAATACAAATTTTTACAGACATAATGCTAGAAAAACCTATATCTATACTACCGATAACTCATTACGTTTCCATAACCAACTTAAGTCTGCAACAAGAACATGTTTGAAATCGAAAACTCTAAAATGAGGAAAGTGCACACATTATATATCCATGTTATCTAAAACCGATACATTTCAGATATAGTGATCATTTTCGAAAAATCAATTAAAACTAGTTATTTCCATAATGACGTGGTCATTTTGTTAACATCCTATTTTTTATTATTATATTAACTATAAATTTATTTTACTTATTTGAATCATTTTCAACTAAAACTATGTTTGACACGCCTAGCTAGCTTACTTTTTGAGTTTTTTTTATGTTGTCGTGTTTGGTAAGCCAAAAAATAGCTTATAAACTAGCTTTTTAAAAAGCTATTTAGACTGGTTTTTTAAAAACTTTTTTTTAATTTTTCAAATACACCCCTTAATTAATTATAGAAACACATATTCTTACATGTTCTTTTATGTAATTTTATATATTTCAACTAGTTTTATAGCTAGTTTTACCAAACGTTTTTCATTTAACAGCTAACAGCGAGCTGAAAAGCTAGTACACCAAACATAGTCTAAATACTTCGAAAGTATCACTTCTAATACAAACCAAACTATCATCATATCATAATGAAGAATAAACGAAACCCCAATTCTATAAACCAAACCGAATTTAACACCATACACCCTAAAATTCCATGGGCAAATACAATTCTACATATACTTGCTTTCACAATTCTAAATCCAAGTAATTCATGTACTCTATACAAAACAATCGTAAAGTGTTCCTTATGGATCACAAAACAATGGCCACACATTATCCAATTCATCGGATATGCTTTCATCCCACTACTTTAAGCTCTTTTCAACAACAACCACAACCAGACCTTAAAATCAACATGCAAAAACCAGCCAGCTTGACTAGAGAGACATGGGCCTACAGACACTTTGAAATATAAAAGAGGGTCAAAGTGATTTATGCTTCCATTT